TTTTCTTTTTTATTATTAGTTTACTTTATTTAGATTTTCTATTTTGTATAGTATTTGTTTCTATTCTTGGAATAATACTGTTTTTTTTTCCGCAGTTTGTTAGCAGCTTTATTTTGATGCAATATAAAATGCTTACCATATAAAAATGTGGTCTAGATGTCTAAAAAAATTACTTTAAACATGGACAAACAAAGGCATGCCACCGTTGCGCTTCCTGGGAAAGTTTAATATATATATATATATATATATATATATATATATATATATATATATATATATATATATATATATATATATATATATATATATATATATATATATATATATATATAGTATGATTACACAGAATGGTTTTAGTTATTTTAATCGAAAAGTAGTTAAAATTTTATTTATTTTTAAAGACTTGTTATGAAAATCGAATTTACAATTTGAATATTCGATGTGGCAGTAAATATCCACATGAGCGTCCAACATGCACATTTACAACTAAAATCAACATGACTGGTGTGGACAGCAATGGCAATGTATATTTTTATTTGTTTTCATTATCTGTTAATATCAATTTTACAGCCCTCGGAATTATAAAAAATAAGGTCAGCAATTATTTGTTCATCTTAATCTATATGAGGTCGGCAGAAAGAATGTGAAAAAAAGGTTTGACCATAAAACAGAAACAAGGTCAGCAATTTTTTGCTGACCTCATACATTTCTAGGTTGGCATTGCTAAATACTAACCCTAAATTCTGAGGGCTAGTTTTAAATGATATTAACTGGTTTTATATTGTTTAATTAATAAAATTGATTTAACATTTTAGTTTTAATTTACCTACACACTGTATATAGTTACTACCTACACACTGTATATATGTATACTACCTACACACTGTGTATAGTTGTATAGTTGTGCTACCTACACATTGTGTATAGTTGTATTTTGTAGTATATATGTTGTTGTATTATAACTTGGCCTTGGTCTTGCAAAACTCTGCTGAAGTATATCAATGATATTTTTTACTTTTTTTTTTTTTCTGCTTTGGTAAATCATTCAAAATATTTAAAATAAATTTTACAACTTCTAATTTTTATTCATAAGTCTAGGAGTCTTTTTATAATCTCAGGATGTACCACTACAAAATAATAATATGAATTCAGCTTCTAAATCATTTTATTGTGCCAAAAAATATTTAAATTTTAATAATAAATTAAAACATTTGTTGCTATATTTTCTCAAAAAATGATTTGTTCTTGTTAATGATATTTTTTTTGAGAAAAAAAAATTAAATATTTTCCTAAACACAATTAAGAACTTATATAAGTTGTCTATTCAAAATTTAATTTAATTTAATTTTATATAGTGTATAGTTATAGATAAAACAACATTAAAAAAAAAAATTTTTTCTCACATTTCTATATGTGTTTTATGTAGTAAAATTTAAGAAAGCTTTCAAAAAATATTTTTATTTCACAATGGTTTGAAAAGATTTGATCGCGCCTTTATATTGTAAAAAGGATAGAAAAAATAAGTTGATAATATAATAACAAAGAAAATCTTTTTAAAAGTTTTTTTAATTTATTTTTAATATATAAAACAAATATAGAGAGCATAAGTACGACATGAAAAGCCATTTTTAAACAATGTTGTTTTACTCTAATGTGGTACAGTAAAATAATTTTCTTACAGATATATGTTATAAACCATAAGTAATTAGTCAAGAATTACTTATGCTATGTAATACTTATACTTATGTAATACTACAATGTTACTTATGCTATGTAATACTTCATAGTATAAAAGCTAGTATCTAAACTTTTCAAGCATACATGGGTTTATTACGGAAAAAAATACATACTGAAACTTTGTAGTCCCTGTGTAATAAGCAAAACTAATAATAATAACATTACAATTTCACTGACAGGAGGTAATCCACTGTTATTTAGGGTGGTAGCCCTCCTATCCAGTAATCCAAATGGTTAACTTACAACTAGGAGATTTCAATACTTACAAATGTGAGCAAGAAGCAATAATCGTAGATTTAAAAAAGTTAATCGAAACTTTAAGAACAGATAATGCAAACTTGACTAAGAGTGTTTTGGATTTAGAAAATTCTAAATCAAAATCTAGTTCAGCAGTGACAGGTGATTGGGCTAGTAAAGTAAAAAAAACTCCAGATCTAATGCAAATTATTAATACTATCGCAAATGAAACCAAAGAAAGAGATAAAAGAGAAAATGACTTGGTTATTTTCGGTTTAGAGGAATCAACATTAAGTAATAAAGTCAAAGCTATTGAAGAAGATAAACAAAATATTGAAACAATCATGAAAAAGTTGAAGGTCAGTGTCAAAATAAAAAATGTTATCAAATTAAAGTCAAAAAAATGGATATAAAGCTCCATATATTGTTGTTTTAAATGATAAATTAGAGCGTAATTCTGTTTTAAAAAATGCCAAGGAATTGAAGAAAGATAAAACATACGAAAGTGTTTTTATAAATCCTGATTTGACTGAATCTGAACGGTACAAATCAAAGCTATTAAGAGAAGAGTGTAAAAAACTAAATAATGACAATATTAACAAGGCAAACTTTTACTTTGGTATTCAAAATGACAAAGTTGTAAAAATAAAAAAATAGCAACTAAATGCCAAAAAAAGACTTAAACCACATTCGATGCTTTAACTATGAAACTAACAATAAAATAAATCTGTTTAGTGGTGGAGGTCAAAATCTTAACAAGTTGCTGAGCAATAAGAGACAGCTAGGTATTGAAATAGTAAACTTTCATGAGCGTAAGAAATGTGATTTAAGTATAAACAAGGAGCACGATACTCAAAAATGCAATGAACTGATGATTTGGTATACAAATGCAACGTCTCTGAATAATAAGATTGATGAGTTAAGGTTACAATGTGAAATATATAAACCGGATGTTATTTTTGTTACAGAAACTTGGTTTAAAGCAGAATCAGATGTAAATATAATAAGTTATAATATTTTTAGAAGTGATAGAAAGACTCATGGAGGAGGTGTTTGTATTATGTAAAACAATGTATTAATCAGTTTGAAACAAATAATTTACAGTTAAACAATAATTTTATAGAACAAATATGGACTTGTATATGTTTTAAAAATAACAAAATGCTAATTGGATGCATTTATAGACCACCAGATATATCTCATGAGTATAATAACTATGTTTTGCTATCTATTAATGCTGCTAAAATGAGTATTTATCAAAAAGAATACAGCGATCTTATTATTACAGGTGACTTCAACTATAATACAATAGATTGGTCTGATAATAATTGTCATTTTTCAGCAACTGATAATGAATCTCAAACTAATAAATTTATTGAATGTCTTGAAGATTGTTTTCTGTTTCAATGTGTATGTGAGCCAACATTCCAAATAGCAAACTACAAATCAACTAATATTCTAGACCTTATTATCACAAACGATAAAAACAAAATTGTTTCTATAACTCACTCAGCTCCTTTAGGGAATGTCAAACAGGGTCATCATTTGTTAAAGTGTTGTTATCTAATGAATGGTTATAAGTTTTCAACCGAACATAAGAAATCCATTAGAATATCAAAAAGGAAATTATGAACTATTTTCTTGCCATTTCAATAATGTAGATTGGGAAAATGGATTTAAAAGTAAATCTATAAATGAAATGTATGATTTATTTTTGTATCATTACAATTATGCAACTAATCTGTTTAACCCAAGAATTAATTATCAAAATAGAAGGAACAGAAACAAATGGATTACTCCTGAATTGAAACATAAAATAAGAACTAAAAACAACATATGGCTTGCTAATAAACGTAATGGCTGGAATGAGGAATCAACAAAAATTCAGTATAATAAGCTAAAAATTAGAATAAAGAATGATATTAAGAACAATATAAAACAATTTGAAAGTACTTTAGCTAGCAAGTTTAAATCAAATCCTAAATTGCTTTATAAATATATCAATGAGAAGAAATCAGTGAAAACTCATATTCGAGCTCTGGAAATTGATAATGGGGAAATCATAAATGATCAATTCGCCATAGCTACTGAACTAAATAAATATTTTCATTCTGTGTATGTTAATGATAATTGTACAAATATTATTGAGTTTCATAATATACCTTCAAATTTATTATTAAACACAGTTTTAATAACACAAAATGATGTTCAAACTAGACTTCAAGCACTTGATAAATCAAAATCAGTCGGTTTTGATTTTGTTCATCCATATGTTTTAAAAGAATGCAGCTCGTCAATATCATACCCATTATATTTAATTTTCAAAAAATCAATGGAAACAGGTACCCTACCAGATATGTGGAAGAAGGCAAATGTAATGCCACTTTTTAAAAAAGGAAGCAAATTAAAAGCATCTAACTACAGACCAGTCTCGTTAACTTCAATACCATGTAAAGTGTTAAAACGAATAATTGCTGATTGTATCATGCAACATCTCATAAAAAATAATTTACTTTCAAAAAAACAACATGGTTTTATGAAAAGCAAGAGCTGTACAACAAACCTATTAGAATACCTAGATATTTTAACAGATGCGTTCCACAATAGAACACCGGTAGATGTATTGTACACAGATTTTAAAAAAGCTTTTGATAGTGTTTCACATAAAAAATTATTATCCAAGTTATTGACTTTTGGTATTTCTGGTAAACTTCTTACGTGGATCCTCTGTTTTTTAGCTAACAGAAAACAAAGAGTGGTTTTAGGTAAAAGTGTGACAGATTGGGTTAATGTACTTAGTGGTGTACCACAAGGGTCTGTTCTAGGTCCTCTCCTTTTTTTGGTATTTATAAATGATTTACCAGAAAATTTTATTATGAATGTTGTTTATATGCTGATGATAATAAGATAATTGCACCTATTTCTTCTCAAAATGATTCACAATTGTTTCAAAATGATATAAATAAACTTGACGAATGGTCAACAAAATGGAAATTAGGATTAAATTTTGAAAAATGTGAAATTATGCACTTTGGTTCAAATAATAACGAATATTCATATTTTATGAACAATAGCAATACATTAATGGAAATTGAAAAGTCAAAATTAGAAAAAGACATTGATGTTTATATATCAAGTGATTTAAAATGGGCCAAACAAGTAAAATATGCAGCTAGTAAAGCAAATAGTATACTCTCACTACTAAATAATACATTCAAGTACAAGGATAAAGATCTAATAAAAACACTGTATTGTACATATGTTAGACCAAATTTAGAGTTTTCAATTCAAGCATGGAGTCCATATTATACAAAAGATATTAATGAACTAGAAAAAGTCCAACGAAGAGCTACCAAAATGATACTGGAGCTTAGACATCTTGAGTACAAAAAAAGATTGGAAATTTTGGTTTTGACTACTTTGGAGACTAGAAGGCTAAGGTACGATTTAATCCAGCAATTCAAAATATTTAAAGGTATTGAAATCATTGATATTAAACAAAATCAAACAATGAACTCTATTTGCTCATCAGGTCCTGCAGCTAATATTA